TATGTGCATATGCCACTTACATTAAACAAATTTTAATAAAAGTAGGATTCAATCAAATATCTTGTCATATTGTCCAAGTCATACATTTATAACCTATGTCAGCACAATTTGAAACCTCCTTACTTTTATTAGAAGAATAACTTTAACTCCCCTGCCTACATCTCAAGGTGATTAGAGATACAAACAGGTTCATGAATTTATGGACTTCAGCATATTTGCGAAGTGAAATTATATAAACACAATTGTTAGATGACTTTCTATGGGAGTTCATAGAAGCTGTGCATATCACGTTAATATAGACTAATCTGTGAAGTGCAGAATATACAAAAATAAGTTATTTAGGACAGCTTATAATTGATAATGTCCAGATCTATGAGTTCAGGTATCTCAGCTCTGCAATAGCTGTTAAGAATTATTTTATAAAGCACTTTGCAAATACAAAGTGTTCCATCATTGAAAGCATCAAGGCACGTCAAAGGTGATGTTTAGGGAAGAAAGAGCATGTATCTCTGGCTGGAGTAGACTACTGTTTGCTTGGAGCTGGCTTATTTCAAATAGCATATGACTAATGCAACTGTCCTATCATTTATGCAAAGCAAAAACTATTAAGCTATCCTAATCTCTTCCACACCCAGCCATAGCTCAGGTCCCCAAATGCCCCTCATATCTACATATTCTCCGTGTTGCTATATTCATGGAATAAGGCAGCTGGTGTAAGATCACACTGATACTTAAAAAATGAGGTCCGGAATTGGAGAGTTGCCGGGTCTAAGGAGAGGCAGTAAAGGAGGTACTGACCTACATCATGCCGGGATAACTTGAGGTGAGGACCACTTCTCCCTGGGGTTGCTTTGGATCAGATAATTGTTTCTTATGAAGGAGCATTTTCCAAATGCAGCTCTTTACTTACTTCCCTTTCTACCTTCTTGATCATGCCATAAATCTGGAGACAACAGCCTGCTGTTCAGTTTCCATTCAAGAAGAATCCATGCTCTTTCAGATTTTATACTCTATGGCTCTCCAGTGTCCTGGTGACCAAAGTAATGTGTGATATATCCTGGTGCCTCGTGTTTTAGTCTTTTTGATTTAATAATACAGTAGGGGAAGCATAAAGCAAATGAAGATGGCACGTAAATTCTGAGCTGAGAGCATCTATTATTGGTTCTATCTACGTCCCTCTTTTCCCCCTTTCCCTCCTCCTCTAAGTACCCACCATACCTGCACACACAGAAACAGCAAATCTTTGCAAAGACTGGAAGAGACAATAGGAGCCATAGGCAAAAATGGAATGAAATTAAGGAAGATCTAGATGTTAAGTTGAAAACTCCAGGATAAATGAGGAAGATGGAAATAGGATATTTCCAGAAGAAGAAAATCTGAAATCTCAATCTGGAAAGAAGTCAGTTTGATGCAGGTCATTATAGTAATTAGAGGAATCCATTTTAAGCAGAAGAGGCTGGTGTCCCATTTTATTATGCACTAATTTTATTGAATATATGGTTCTCCCATCTTTCTTTAAAGAGTGTCACATGATTTTAGAAATGATACACACCTTTAAGTGTCCTTGTTCAGGTTAAATACTGCCACTTGGAGTTAACAGGTAAATTTTTCAACACTAGCCAGGAGTCATTGTAATGGGATATAGTGGTATTATTGTTAGTAGTGCTATCCAGAAGAATCCTCCAGTGATTCCTGGAACTAAATAACTAGAACGTAGGGGAAGCAGAAAGTATACTCATTTCATTTTTATGAATAATCTAAGCCCACTTTACTGAAATTCATTTATGTCTCCCCCAGATATGCCACATCTACACATTTATAAAAATTAGGTCATTGATTTTTTTCTTGATAATTCAGTTACCCAATTCAATGACAAACTATTGCAGCTTTCAAATTTGTTTCATAAAATAATTATATCTAATTTAATGCCCTTTGAATTTGCTACTAGCCCAAGCCCTGGGAAAAAGCAAAATGTAAGCATAAATGTAATAATCTGTAATAAAGGAGAAAAAGAATTATTCATCCTGACCAAAGTATATTAATATAGCTGTAATTTAATAAATTGGTGATGGAATAAGAATGATTATGGGCCTATTGTTATATTAACTTTGACTTTATAAGGTTTATAATTGTGGAATTAGTAAAGACCCTTCGATTAAGAAGAAAACTCCTTGGGGAAGAAAGAAGTGGTTATGGCTACTGCTAATATTTACATTTTGCATTTTCAAGTTTATAATGACTCCTTATGTGATACTCAACATATTTCTATACCTCTATTAAGTTCCTCAGGGAATCAGGGATAGCAGTAAGGGGAAAGAGCTATAGACTAGGCTAGATTTTAATGTAAAGAGGAATTGAGGGTATAGTTACAAAATTTTTATGACTATATACTATCTCCTGGGAGGTCAGAAACTAATTCAAGAAACAACGTTAAGACATTATGTTCAAATACAAAATGGTGACAAAATAAGTGCTATAGGACAGAAGGACTTTTTTTTGAAGCGATCTCAAAGGAGGTTGCAATGTAAGAAATGACAGAAATTTGGACTTATGTGTAAACTTGATAAATCAGTAAGATTTATGGCCCTAAGGAAGTTAAAAAGGTAAACTGTGTGACAGGATAAAAACAGCAGAAGTTTGGGATGAAGCATGGAGTGGTACGTCGGGAAGGAATTCTGCTATGCATCGTTTGCCAATTTCAGCGGTGTAAGCACTCCCACCACAGTGACATCCAGTTCACCGTGGGGTATGAGGAATGCAGAGCAGAGGGGATGCTACAGTCGGTGGCTTTGAGGAAAGCCAGCACCCGTGAGCCCTGACAGGACATTGTACTTCAAGGCTGTGCCTGGGAACACTGACAGATGACATGCGCAATTCAGTCAAGCCACGGTTATCCTGGGGCACATCGGCAGCCACGACGAAGACTTGGCACCTCCTGCCTGCTGAGTCACTGAAGGGGTCTGGCTGAGGGAGAAAGGTGGCGACAAAGCTGTGTGTGTTGGGAAGGACCATCAGGGAGTAGAATGTAGGATAGACGCTGAGATCCTACACATGGAGCTCTAACCAACTTGAAGTGGGTCTGAAGGAAAAGAAAAAAAAATGAGAACTGGAAATGTGGAGTGGGTGTTGGGAATAGAGATAAGCAAACCTAGCATACAGGGAATAAGAAAACGAAGCTGCAGGAGCTCCAATGTTTATCCAGAGTGGAAGGGAACAATGGTGGGGACAAGGAAGAGAGCACATATTTAGGATATCCCAGTGGCAGTGCCCTTAAATGGGATCAGTTACTTGAGGAGAATCAAAACAAAACAAAACAACAACAAAAAACAAGGCAAAAGGAACAGAGGTCTGGATTTTGAGTAACTGTTCTTTTGACAAAATGGAAAATAATTAATAGCAGTAAGGAAAAAGAGAGATGGGGGGAGAGAGATAATAGACCTCAGAAACATGCAGAGGAAATAAGCATTTCCAGAGGAAACATAGACACTTGGAATCGAAAATATTCCCAGTAGGATTTTCTCCAGGATGGAGGAATAATTTGAACTATGGGTTCATTTGGGAATAATTTGAACTCTGCCTGACCTCCATCAACTACGAGCTAGAACACCTTGGACAAGTCACATTCCTTAACCTCGGATTCCTCAGCTGCAAAAGGAGTCTGCAATCAAATACCTACTTGTGAAGATGAAACCTGAAACAGTTGAAGCGATCAGTATGTCCTGGCTACCAGCAGGGATTACATTAACAGGAGCCTAGCACTGGTGGTAATAGACTATTGCCAATGTAGTTAACACCTGGGAGATCTTAGGAGCCTACAGCACTTAACCGAAAACAATCTTAAAGAAGCAAATTATCCATTAAGTAGCATAGACTGAATCAGAATTACATGGGTGACAAAGCCTGGCTCTGTGAGGTCTCACGGCCGAGGCTGGGAAGTCGCGGGACTATGAGCACGGATTAGAATTCAGACACGCATGTGAGTCTCAACAGATCGTATACTGCCTATCTCTGGGACCTGTTGAAAATACAAATTGTGTTTATTTATCTGTTAAACGAGTGTCCATGGTTGTTATGAGTATTGATATGATCCGAGTAAAGCATTCAGCAAGTTTTCTGGCCTCACAGTAAGGCCTTAAAAAAGGCTGGCTACACTTTTATTTTTGAAAACCTAAGGTGAGTTTTCCCTCAGGAAAGTCAGAACTTAAGAGTTATAGTCGGCTCTTTCCTAGAATTATTGGAGCAGTAAAATAATGTTATGGAAAAGGCCTAAAATCACAGGGTGTGTCAGGAAAGTAATTCTAACCTCACCCCAAATCATGCCGCTGAGCACTTGGATATGGTGTATTCTTTCACGATCACCTTATTTCAAAGGACTAAGAGTGCTGAAAGAGTCCTTAAAAGGTATCCTTTAATTATCAAGTCATGTTTGTCATCTATTTATTTATTTGACAGAGAGAGACACAGCGAGAGAGGGAACACAAGCAGGGAGAGTGGAAGAGGGAGAAGCAGGCTTCCCGCTGAGCAGGGAGCCCGACGCGGGGTTCTATCCCAGGACCCTGGGATCATGACCTGAGCTGAAGGCAGACGCTTAACGACTGAGCCACCCAGGCGCCCCTGTGTTTGTTATTTTTAATGAGAAAAAAGATAAAAAAAAAAAAAAAGGAGCCATCAAATCAAGGACATAAATGTGCATAGTAAATCCTAGAACGCTAAGAGAGCAAATGATAACATTATGCAGAAGGCCATAGAATTTGAGAAACTGAAGGAAGAAAAATGTGGGTATTTAAGGAGCACATCTAAGTTTGTAATTGGATTTACAGGGTCCAGTCATGGCTCCTTGGACCACATGGAACATGACTTCTAGGAACAGAATAAGCTGACGCGGCAATACCAAGCAGGATGTGAATTCTTTTCATGTAGTGGAAACTTTTATACCATCAGTAACCAAAGCCATGTATTTACTCTGAGTTCATAACACCATCTGGTCGTCTGGTACTCACCCCTGCAAAACGGAGCCGGGAAGTCCCACGAAGCACCATTCCCAGGGCTGACGATGCAGGTCAGAATTGCATGGCCTTCCAAGATATAGCCAGAGAGACAGCTATACCTGATCTTGTCCCCGATATTGAACCTCGTTCCGTGGAGAACTCCTTTTAGTATTTCCCCGGGATTACCACATGTGTGGCTAGGTAAAACTATTGAAAGAAAGAAAAAAAAAAAAGACAGAAAAGTTAAAGATAGTTCTATTGAGATAAACTTCTATCACAAAACACACACTGCATTTGAACTATTCAGATTAGCAAACCTAGAACAAACACATTTTCATTTTGCCTGAAAAAATAGAGAAAATGTATTCGTGTTTTAGAATATCTACCATTTAACCATGTTTAAAGATCCTTTTAAAAGTATAAATAAATGCAGCTTGAGAAGAGGAAAAAATACAGTTTTGCTTAGACTCTGTGTTCTAGGTGATATCTAGATTATTTTTCTAATTATGAGATTCTACAGTCTCCCAGAGTTAGCAGCCAGGTAACACAGTAGGACTATGGGCATCTGAAAAAGTAGGATCAGAAATATAGCAGGAATGAATATTCATGTCATGCTGACCCTTATTCCTTTAGGACCAACACTGCCAAACACACATTGCTAATCAATATTTAATCAATGTTTGTTGGACAAACAACTGAATTAAGGAATAAATTGAAGATCTCATTCATTAATCTATCAGACTTAAAAAAAAACGCACCACTGTTATATTCCAAATTTGTTGTTTGTCTTCACGCATTTATAGTGTCTGGTTCACAAGGAAGTTTTACCTATTAGTTTTGACAAAGCAAGTTGGTAAGAAAGCCTTGATTCTGTTCTGGACCTGCTCACTTTTTAAAGATTGATTGATTGATTTGACAGAGAGAGAGACAGCAAGAGAGGGAACAAGCAGGGGTAGTGGGAGAGGGAGAAACAGGCTTCCCACTGAGCAGGGAGCCTGATATGGGGCTCAATCCCAGGACCCCGGGATCATGACCAGAGCCAAAAGGCAGACACTTAATGACTGGGCCACCCAGGCACCCCTGGACCTGCTCACTTTTTATGTTGAGAGCATTCTCTGCCTAATTCAACTGCCTTAAAACCTAATCAATAGGATGACATTTCATACTCAGAACATAATTTTGAAATTCACTGATTCACCATTAGGTTAAATGGATCAAGTTGAAGATTGTTGGTTACTATCTACATTTTTCTGGTTTAAATTTAGCATATGATCAGTAAGTCAGAGTTATCATGAAGTAGTGAAATAAACCAAGGAGACTGCCACTTAAAAAATAAATGATTTCAGGAGTGCCTGGGTGGCTCAGTCAGTTAAGCGTCTGCCTTGGGCTCAGGTCATGATCTCAGGGTCCTGGGATCAAGCCCCAGGTCTGGCTCCCTGCTCAGTGGGGAGTCTGCTTCTCTCTCTCCCTCTATCCCTCCCTCTGCTTGTGCACTCTCTCACTCACTCTCTCTCTCAAATATTTTAAAAGTTGATTTTCAAAAAAGGCATTTCCAATAAACAAAGTATTTTATACCTGTATCTTTTTTTTTCTTTTTAACATGGACCTGGGAGTGAGTTTTGATATATATGTATAAAGGAATGTGAAATATTGTTTTATTTGTTTGTAAACTAAGAAATAAAACTTTCCCAATGAATGGGAAGGGAATTTCAGTGATTTCTAAAATGATTTTTATTACAAAATTACTTCAATAGAGATAAACTAAGCTATGTAGAAACACTTAGAAAACAAATATTACAACTTAGATATGTTATATTGACATGTTTATGAAATCACTGCTTACATAGTCAAAGTGTGCTCAGTTCTAGATTAAAAAAAAAAAAGTTCGTGAAATCAGTCTGCAAAAAGCTGTTAGTTTAGACAACACAATAGAAAATAATTCACTGTAATCACAATCTTCTTTGTCTTTTATAAAAAAAGAAAGTCTGTATTTAATTCCACATTCACTATCTCTAAAGCAATAAATCTGTTTTTTAAAAATGTTGTTTAAAAACACTGTTTGTCATTTAACTGTCTTTGGCTCTTCTAAGGTAGAATGTTTCAGTTTGATCTTGGAGGAGCACTTCGGTGGATGACCCAGGAGCCCTGCCAGCCAGCAAGAAGTGGGGATCTGATAGCCAGACACAGGGAAGGCAGGGGCTGAATTTCTACCAACAATGGGAATAGAGAGATGAGGGTGGGTGAAATATGTACATTTGAATGCTTTTGGTGTTTTCCTTCCTGGTCCAAGAATATTTAGAATTCACAAATCCTTCCTTGACTTTTTTAAGGACCTTTATAATTTGCATTAAGTGGTACAAAGACATCTTGTTAGAAGGTACATAAATTCACTTCAGAATGTATCCAGATAAATTGTTTCCCCAAAGACAAGTTATCCACGTAAATCTATCAAAAACTTTAAAACCTGTGACCGAGAGCCACAACATGCGACAGCTTTCAGAACTGGAAAAACCCCATAAGCCATTCTCAAAGCTGAATGTGGCCGATACAACTTTTCTATCCACTTATCTATTGAAAATAGCAAGAAATTATTTTTAATGATTAGCTTTAGCACAGATAACATAATTATCTTTTGTACAGAAAGACCAGAGTAACAAAAATACAATACGAGAGATTTCAGGCAATGTTGCCACTGCATGGGTAAACATCATTCTGTCTATTTAATACCTATTTACTACACTGAAAGAAAAGTGAAGGAGATGTCATAGGTCAAACTTGGCTGTGCAATCATATTGCTAGGAAGTGTGGAATTGCATGGACTTCGAAATGTTTAAGGGGGAAAGAAAGAAAAAGAAAAATCATTCCTGAAAACAAGGATCTCCCAAAGTGGGCCTCTGAAAAGAAAACATCCATGTCTTAAAACTTTTAAGAGAGTTGACGCAGTATTTGGAAATAGACAACTTTGACATTCAGAAAGAAAAACAATTTTGGCCATTCTGGATCATCAAGCTAGGAGAGCAATCTGCAATATAGACGTTCGAAGTGCTTGACCACCACAGGAAAAAAAAAAGTGAAAATGGAAGGTGTACCTGTGCCTACAATGAACATCACAGCTCAAACGGTGTAGATGAGGTAAAGGATCTTTTTGAGGTGCAGCTTCAGATTTCCAGGGAGATGGTGGCTGTTGGTGCCAATCATGCCTAGTAAAGCTGTGGGCAGAGATAAGCATCTCTGTGTCTGGGCTGCACCAGGCTCCCCTACTTCTGTAAACTGTTCCCTGGCACCTTAGACTAGGATGAACATCTCCTTTTTTGTTCTTTTCCACAGTTTGTCTTTAACATCTTGACAATTGCACTCAAATTTGGAAAATGTTCACTCAACAGTTATTATTTGCATGGCTTCGTTTTCAACCGACAATAAAACGGAATGGAAAGAGAAGCAGATTTAAGACTCTTCTTTTGCTCTTATTAGCTCAGTTAATCTACTAAAAATGTGTCTTCATAAGTATTTATTCCATAGGGTACAGTGTGAGGATTGAAATGAGACAATGCAAGTCTCAAACTACCTGCTCTGTTTGACTCTGTCATTGGACTAGTGTTGCAACCACTAGCCCCCAATGTGGATCTTGAATTGGTCTTCCATCTGTGTCCACATATCGTCTACAATAATGTCTAGCTCTCAGCAGGAACTCGCTAAATATATATTTGCTCAACCAACTGGTAAACATGAGTATTGATATAAAGTATCTCATGTATCCTTCTAGATCATGTACAAGATTCACATAGTCTATAGCTTGATGGGAACAGAAAAAAAGCTAATGAGTGTTCAAGAACAGAATAAAGTGACATTTCAGAAACAATGATTCAGCAACAAATTGTCACTTTAAGCCACTTTTTACCACATTTATATTAACATGTAAATAGGACTCAGAGGGTTAAAATGAATTACCATTTTTTTAAGGCAAAATAACTTAGCAAATGGGAAAAAGTGATTAAACACTAACTTTTAAAGTTTAAAGTCACTGGTTGGTAGGACAAGTTATAAATTTATGATTTGGGAATGAGTATTTTTGTTGTCAACTGACTTGATTTTAGCAAATACAACAAAATTTTAATGTGAACAATGCCAGTGAGGAAATAGAAATAACTGAGGATGAATGAAAAGATTCACTTTCAGTTGCAAACAACAAAATGGCAAAAATGCACACATTATAAAAGCATTATCAAATTCATTTAATCATTATCAAAATACCCTAAATTGTGAAAAATAGATGAAAATAATAATAGGTCTATGCAAAGATTTAAGACAAAGACATGTAAAACTTGCCAACACACAAAAATCCAGGGGCTGGGAAAGACTAATTTAACATAAACTCAATCCGAATGGCATCTCTGCCAATTTCATTTTAATTTTTTACCCAGTTTCCCTGAAGATAGTGAATGTCCCTTTGTGTCTCCCATGGTAATGAGCACACATTAAGTATTTAGTAAATACTTATTGAATTGACTTGAACTCTAATTTTAATTCCCTTAAATCCTTCCTTGAAGTAATTTGCACTCTTTCCCATGGATGCTTCAAGAAAGAAATTCTTATTTGGGTAATGGGAATTCAGCACCCAGTGCATACATTTGGTAATGAGAAAGCATTTCTTGAAAGGAGCTCTGGGCACAGTTCCTCCTCCTCAGGGCAGGTCTCATTCCACCAGACCGCATGAAGCCAAGTTCGTACACCCAGGGCTTGAAACACAGGCTGCCATTCTAATTACACTCACAGAAATTCCCTCCATAACGCATTTGATTTGGCAAGTGCATGTGGTCACAACCCAGGGACTTCATTAGGCTTTCACAGCAACCTTTACCCCAACTGTTTAAGTGATGAAATGGATGTCACATCAACTCCTTTTCCAGGAGAAAAGCAAAAACACGATGCTGAAATAAAATACAGCATTCATATTCATTATGAATGAACGGGACAAAAGGCTAGTGAACAGAATTTTGAAATTCATCAGCGGAGAGGTAGCATTTTTCACAGCTTGTGCACAATCAATGAAATGTCCCTGGGCGCAATCATTGGGAAACCGGGTCCCAGAGGGTGTATGTCAGATGATTTGTTTACACTTTGCCTTTCCAGGAGTCTCCCCACAGCTTAAGGAAATAAAACTTCAAATACCCACATGACATACAACACTTGAAATGTAAACTAAGGAG